GGACTGGAGCGCCCGGCCGTGCAGCCTGTGCCGGCGCGGGAGCCGGGAGCCGGCCTAGGACTGCGAGTCCAGCTCCACTGAGGCCCCGGCGCGGTGGGCCGGGACGACCCGGCTCTCCACCTCACCTTCCCAAATACTCAGGTTGGGAGAATCTACCTCCTCTGAACGTTTCGGGCCCCACGGTGACAGTCGCGGGGTGTCTGGCGATAGTCGTGATCACCTAGGGTACAGTGACGTGCCGCTGCGCACACCGAATGACGGGCGGCCCCTCTGTTGGCGTGCTGAAGTTTAGCACTGCTGGAGCCCAGGCTTTAACGCTGATTGGCGCGCGGTGATGCCGCCCAGTTAAGGTGGCCATTAATGGTTAGTCTTTGATGATAGCTGATGTTCTCATTCATTGCAAAAAAAGGAATTCTCCGAATCGCTAGATAGTATGTAAAGTGAACAAATCGTTTGCATTGTTCAATGCTATATTGGAGCCAAATAATTCTCCTAAATTATCCTTTAAAATGTATATATATACTCTAAGATGAAATCTCTATTTCTGAATATTAAAGGATATAAGAACAGGATGTACTTTTTGCTGTGAAATATATTTTATGACTTTTAATAATTTCAGTGGAATAATGGAGGAGGATCTAAAACCACTGGGCTGGAAGTAGATGATTGAGAGGAAGATCGAGTATCCTCATGTAATCATAAACACTTTTTATATTTTACTTATAGATCTGCTGGGAAGAGTTGTAATGACACACTTAATGTTAAAGGACAAGATTTGTGTATACTTACTAATCTGCTATGCAAATTGTTGCTTAGAAATGACAGACTAAGCAAGAAGATTGGGATAAAGTAACCCTGGAACTTAGAGATAGGAGAATAAACCCTGGCAGGAAAACTGCAGAATCGGGGAAGAATAACTTCATGTATTACTGTGTGATTTATATTTTATCAAATAATTTGGTTTCTTGAGTTATTTTCCAATTTAAAGCAAGTGCTTGTATGTGTATATATATTTTAAGTGGTGCAGTTGCTCTGGTAAGTGCTAGATTTCTATTAGAGACCTATGTACACAGCATATTTTAGAATTAAATATGTATATAGATATCTAAATGAAGCAAAAGTGGTTTAATAATTAAAAGTTTGACATATGGGCATATGTGATATAGCACGATTCTTTAGTTTTGCTTTTTTAAAATGATGACTAACCAACCATACTTGTCTTGAAGATCAATAAAGTACCTCTTATGAAACTATGACCCGGTGGGCACGAGTTTCTACCACACATAACAAGAGACCTTTGCCTGCAACATCATGGGAGGACATGAAGAAGGGATCCTTTGAGGGAACAAGCCAAAACCTACCAAAACGTAAACATGAGGCCAGTAGGCTGTCCCTCAAAAATGATGCATCCCAACCAAAACATAAAAAGAACAGAAAGAAAAAAGAGTACTTAAATGAAGACGTGAATGGATTTATGGAATACCTAAAACAGAACTCGCAGATGGTTCACAATGGGGAGATTCTGTCAACAGACAGTCGGGAAATAAGGGAAGAAATTGCAGTCGCTTTAAAGAAAGACAGTCGACGGGAAGGAAGGCGATTAAAAAGACAAGCAGCAAAGAAAAATGCAATGGTGAGATCATCCTTCCTACCATTGTTTACTTGATATAACTAGGAACTGTTTCTCCTGTGTTCACACACAACATACATATCTTAGCAAGGTCTGGTTCCTGTTGTGTCCTTGGTTTATAAAGCATTTTTTAAATGGCTAGTTTTTTTAAAACCACATATATGCTCGGCGCTTATTATATTGGTTAATTTCACAACACTGAAAAATTGATGGTATTATTCTTGTATTGCATTTGGAAAACACTGAAGTGCATGCAGAGAGGTTAAATATTAGTAACTCACCAAAAGCCACTTAGCAAGTAACAGAGGTGAAATACAAACCCAGAGTCTGTATGACTTCAAAACCAGTATTTTTATCCCTGCTTTCCAATAACCCTTTTTCACATTGCTATTTAAAAAGGCATGAAAATAATGGTTGGGTCCAGCAGGTTAGATGTGTGTTATTTCTATCACTTGGAAAGGGTGTTCTTTTGTCTTTGAATAACCGAGGCACAGGAGAGACTGGACAAGTCAGGCCAGTTGGTACAGTGATTCAGCAGTGTAATAGTGGAATTAAAACCCTCACTCCCTCCCTCTCCATCCTATATTCAGAGCAGTTCTGGGGGTAGCAGGTTTCTATCTGTAGTACTTAGCTCCAGGTTTTGAACTATGTCAGGCATAGAAAATGAAATACTTAGTGAAATTTTTTCCCTGTCTGTAAGTGAATTTCTCAGATCTTCTAGTAGAATACTGCATAAAAACCAGGACTTAGCGCCAATCTCTTTCCTTTTTCATCAGACTTACTAAATGCAGAGCAGTGTTTGCATGAGGGCAGTTTTGAGCTGTCTAGTCTTCAGAAATGTGGTTGCTGGGACCAGCAGTTAGCGTAATGGCTATGTTGATAGACTCCCATGTAGTCGACCGTGGTTCAAGTCCTGGACCCGGTGGCTTAAATTCACGCCGGGCACGTGTGTGTGCATGTCCAAGATCTCAAAAGAAGAATGGAGGAAAAGGGATTGTGGCGTGACCATCCCCTCTGGGGGGTGATTTCTCACTTTCTGTCTCTCTCTGTCCTCTCTGTCTTTCTGGCGAGCGCACGTGCCCTATAGCAAAAAAAAAAAAAAAAAAAAAAAAAAAAAAACTAAAAAAAAAAAAAAAAAAAATCTCAGAAAAAGAAAAAGAAATGTGGTTGCTGACCATTTACAGGATGAGCTCTATGGAGTGTCATATGTGAAGATAATTATTTAGAAATAACAAAGATGAAACATTCCTTAGGGATAAATTTGTATAGATAAGACAGTCATTTCTATTTGGATCCAATTAGAGTCTTGTTTAACTTGTAAAATTGATTATTTAAAAATATTTTTAAGTCAACAAAGTTAATGTAAAGATAGTTTAGTTGACACAGGCAGTATGATAAGTTGTATACCACTTGAAAAATGTTACTTATATGATCTTTTTAAGGGAAGCTTTATGCATACAGTTAAAGAAGAGGGATGTTTTGTTAAAGCAAAGGAATACTTTATAAATAGTATTGTCATGATTTACTGCTAATTTATTTTCTTGTTATTTTTTAATATCTTAAGCATTGCCCTTAAATGCTAATAAGTTAATTAACATATAGAAATTTATCAGTCTGCTCTACAGTCTCACTGACATTAAATTGAAGGACCATTTAAGAGATTTTACTGGGAGCAGCAGATGGTGTAATGGTTACGTCACTGGACTACCACGGAGTTGACTGCAGTTTGAGTCCCAGTCCCAGTGGCTTAGACCTCATGCCAGGCGTGTGTGTGTGTGTGCATGTGCCCAAAATCCCAAGAAGAGAATGAAGGAGAAGGGATTGCAGCATGGTCATCCCCCCTTGGGGGGGTAATTTCTGACTTTCTGTCTCTCTAGCAAGTGCATGAGCCCTCTAGCAGAAATCTCTCTCAAAATATTAATTAATTTTTTTTTTTTAAAGAAGTTTTTGCTGTAGGGCATGTTTGCTCGCCAGAAAGACAGAGACAGAAAGCGAGAAATCACCTCACTGGCGAGGATAGTCATGCCGCAATCCCTTCTCCATTCTCCTCTCAGGATCTTGGGCACACATGCTCACATGCCCGGGGTGAGTTTAAGCCACCGTGTCCAGGACTCAAGCCGTGATCAGCTACGTGGGAGTCCAGTGACGCAGCCATTATGACAACTGCTGGTCCCAATTAGTTAAATTTTTAAAAAGAGAGATTTTATTTGGTGAATATTAGATTTAAAGGTCAGAGCAATGAAACATCAGGTTAGTAGAGACCACCTTGACTTCACCAAAAAGCCAAGATATTTTATGGTGGCAATCCAGTTTTTAGCAGTAGCTCTTCCTGCAGTTCATAGAATAAATGCAGTTTCTTGTTTGAACCTGCTCATTTTACTATAAACATTACTGAAGAATTTATATAAAGACACTCATTTTTTTCCAATTATGTTGTTATTAAACAGGAAAAAAAGGAAATGAGGACAGAGTTACAAAATGTGTTTAATTTGGCCTGTTTATTTTCATTTTTAGAAAACCTGTACTTAGTTTGACAAAAATAATTAAATGATTAGCTGTTTGTTATCCAAGAAATACAATTATATTCTGTTTAAATAACATAGTTTAAATTTTCTGCAATCTTTGGTTATGGTTGAAGTTCTTACTCATTGCAGCAAAAATGTTTCCTCCAGATTGCTAAGTAGTATGGAAATAAACATTGGTCAGTTTTATGTTGGAGCCAAATAACTCATCCTAGACTAAATTATTCTTTTAAGATGTAATGTGTACGGGAACCAGCAGTTAGCATAATGGCTATGTTGCTGGACTCCCACGTAGTCGACCGCGGTTCGCTTCCTGGACCCCTAGGCTTAAAACTCAACCGCAGGCGCAAGTGCATGCGTGCCCAAGATCCAAGAGGAGAATGGAGGAGAAGGGATTGCGGCGTGACCATCCCCCCCGGGTGGTGATTTCTCACTTTCTGTCTCTATGTCTCTCTCTGTCTGTCTGGCAAGCGCCACAAACTTCCCCCCCCCCCCCAACCCCCCACAAAAAAAAAAAAAAAAAGAAAGATGTAATGTATAGGGGCCGGCAAGTGGTGTGATGGTTAAAGGTGTTGGACTCCCACATGGCCGACCATGGTTCAAGTCTCGGACCTGGTGGCTTGCTTTCTCACTTCCTCTCTCTCTCTCTGTCTGTCTCTGATCAAACTGAAAAATAATGATAATAATAAATAATAATAAAAGATGTAATGTGTATATATTCTAGAAATCAGACCTCTATTTCTGAATAGCAAAGCATGTGTATTTAATGTTATGAAATAAGAATATACTTTTTTATGAAATATATCTTATAACTTGAATCATAATATAAATAGAAACATTTAACCCAGATTCATCTGATTATGTGGACCTTAAAAGTACATCTATTAATTTTAAGTGATAATTTTTATAGCCATCGTCTGCCTTTTCCAGACAACTGCATTTCTTTTCTAGTGCATGTATGCCTATTAATTAAATGAATAGTCCACATTTGCTCAGTTTATTTAAGAAATTTTATACAAATTTTATAACATGGTTTCTGAGATTGGTGGATTTATGGATTGAAGGTTTTCAAAAGCATTGAGATCTGATAAAATGACATCTCTTATTGTTTAGGAATGTGTGAAACACTTTTTTTTTTTTTTTTGAGAGGTTTTTGCTATAGGGCGCGTGTGCTCGCCAGAAAGACAGAGACAGAAAGCGAGAAATCACCCCCCAGGGGGGATGGCCATGCCGCAGTCCCTTCTCCATTCTCTTCTTGGGATCTTGGGCACACGTGCACACGCGCCTGGGATGAGTTTAAGCCACCAGGTCCGGGACTCGAACCAAGGTCGACTACATGGGAGTCCAGCGACATAGCCATTAGGCTAACTGCTGGTCCCTGAAACACTTTTTATACAAATAAAATACTGAGTTTTTGTTTTTTTTTTTTAAACGAAATACTTTAGTATGAGAAGTATTTTTTAAGTTTTTTTTTTAGAATTATTTAATTTTATTTATCATTATTATTATTTTTTGTTTTGTTTTCTGGAGAGGTTTTTGCTATAGGGCGCATGCGCTTGCCAGACAGACAGAGAGAGACAGAGAGACAGAAAGCAAGAAATCACCCTTCAGGGAGGATGGCCACCCCGCAATCCCTTCTCCTCCATTCTCCTCTCAGGATCTGGGGCACACACACACACGCACCCGGCGTGAATTTAAGCCACCGGGTCCGGGACTCGAACCGCAGTTGACTACATGGGAGTTCAGCCACATAGCCATTACACCAACTGCTGGTCTTTTATTTTTAAGTTTTCTACAGGGTATGTGTACTCACTAGAGAGAGACAGAGAGAAAGGGAAAGTGGGAAGGCAAGCTGCCAGGTCTAGGACCAGAACCATGGTCAACCATGTGAAAGTCTAGCACTTTAACCACCATGCTACCTGCTGGCTCTTTCAAGGTATTTTTGAAAATAAGAATTGATAAATTACTGGTGTAGTTTTACAGTGTGGAAATTCACATTTTGTTTTTCCAGGTATGTTTCCATTGTAGAAAACCTGGCCATGGAATTGCAGATTGCCCAGCCGCCCTTGAAAATCAGGATATGGGGACTGGAATATGTTACCGGTGTGGGTCCACAGAGCATGAGATCACCAAGTGCAAGGCCAAAGTAGACCCAGCTCTTGGTATGTTTTCTTTCAGGTTTTTATGTGGTTGGTGGAAAAGGTAACCTATAAATAGCCAACTGGGTTTTTTTTTTTTTTAACAGAATTTGTTGTGTGTGCTGCTTAATATTTTTAATTAGTATGAGATTCTATTTTGTGATGTAAAAATATTTTCTATTCAAAGTAATTTTAAATAAAGTGAATTATGTCTTATCAGAAACATAATCAACCTAATAGGAAATATTGATTCTTGCAGGTGAATTTCCTTTTGCAAAATGTTTTGTTTGTGGGGAAATGGGACACCTGTCTAGATCCTGTCCTGATAATCCCAAAGGACTCTACGCTGATGGTGAGTACTGTTACCTTCAAATGTTAGAAATGATGAGTCATCATGCAGAGTTGTGATTTAATTTACCCCTTTAATCAGTTCTTGCATAAAATCTTGAATAAGTAATAAAACCTTGAGAATTTCATTATTTTTATCAAGTTTTTCTTCTTAATAGGACTTTTGGTGTAATAGGATGATATATTAATAATTCCAGTTTAAAAAAACTAAGCTATATTTCAAACTGCTTGCTTCACAGCATCATTTCTGAGAACATGGTATACATTTCTACTAAAAAAAAAACTCTTTTTTTTTTTAGTTTATTTTTTACTTTGAGAGAGAAAGAGAGACAGGTACCCTTGGCAGGGTCTTGCCATGCTGCAGTACTCCCCTGCCCCAGCCTCCAGTTTGCCGGGATTATAGACGCATCTGTGGGTATTCCTGATGTCTCAAGTCGATTCAGATGCTCAAACCCAGGCCTCCTATGTGGCTCCGGTATTCTCGAGTGCCTGCACCACTACAGCTGGACCCATTTCTACTTTTGAACATAGTAGAATCAGAGGAATTATTGCTCAAGTAATATGAAGCTTAAAAAGAAGTGGTGTGTATTTTATTTCAGCCCAACATACCATTTGGTAGAAATACGTTATTTTTGTTTCTGAATTTTTTTCTTTAGTTAATTATCTGGCATAGGATCATGTAACATCCTTATCTTCTTACCTTTAGATCACTTAATGTCTTAAGGTCTCCACAATAAAGTTTGTGACATCTGAGCTTTAAGAAGGAGGTTATTAACTGTTGCTGTGGTGGCTTGCACCATTTAGTTCTAGATGACTTCTTATGTCACGTTCTAGGTGTCTCCCTGGCGGAATTCATTGAGAAAACAGGGCTTTTGGTGTCAGTCATGCTTGGGTCATAGTCCCAGCAGTGCCACTCACTAGCTGTGAAACTTTGGCTGAGTTATTAAACTTCTCTCATCTCAGTTTTCTCACCTGTGAAATGGAGGTGATAAAACTATCTATCAATGGGGCTGGCAGGTGGCGTGGTGGTTAAGGTGCTGGACTCCCGTGTAGCTGATTATGGCTCAAGTCCCGGACCTAGCAACTTGCTTTCTCACTTTCACTCTCTGTCTCTCTCTGGTTAAATTAAAAAATGATAATAATAAAAAAAAATTAAATAATTCTTTAAAAGAAGAAGTAAAACTGTCATTGACTTTGAGATGCACACTTTTTCATATTTTAATATCCCTGAAATTAGAATGTATCTTTTCATTGGTAGATCATATGTAATTGATGGCTTTTTTTGTTTCTGAGAGGTATGAGAAATAATTATACATCCTATAATCAGTGATGTCTTAGATTTGATGAATTATGGCTTTTACCTGAAAGAGTTGTTATGAGGATTAAAATATGTATTATTCAAGTGCTTCTTCTATTTCACTGTTGCATATAAAACAGTTATAGGCTGGGCCTGGAAAATGTTTATAGGCGTGTCTTAGTTTAGAGTTTATAAAACAAGTCAGATAACATGCCCTGAGCATAATAGTTTTGGATGGTCAAGTGAATAGTTATAAAAAGAAAAAGTTTAATAAAAGAAATAGGCACATAGATGTGAGAATTCAGACAAATATTTATCCCATAGGGTCTTTTTTTTTTTTTTTTTTTTGAGAGTTTTTTGCTATAGGGTACATGCACTTGCCAGAAAGACAGAGTGAGATCGAGAGACAAAAAGCAAGAAATCACACCCCAGGGGGGAATGCCATGCCACAATCCCTTCTCCTCCAGTCTTCTCTGGGGAGCTTGGGCACGCACGCACACACGCCTGGCGTGAGTTTAAGCCACTGGGTCTGGGACTCAAAACGTGGTCGACAACATGGGAGTCCAGCGTCATAGCCATTACTCCAACTATTGGTTCCCCATAGGGTCATTTTTTTTCTTTTTTTTTACTAAGTCATTTAACATTTACCATATATGTTCATGGTAATTCTTGACCATTAGGCAATAGTGTTTGACTATTGAGTGAAACACTTATTTTAGGAACCATGCATGTTGGGGCCATGTGGTGTTATGGCAGTAATGTAATGCTCATCCACATGGGATGGTTCTGGTTCTGGGTTTGTGTCTGGAGACCTACCTGAACATGCTTGGAATGTGTGCTCATGATCCTGGCCTGGTAAGAGCTGGGGATGAATGTGACATGAAGATCAGTTAAAGGTCTCTCTCTCTCTCTCTCTCTCACTTATGGGAGAAAGAAAGAAAATTCACAAGATTGGAATGTTGCTTAAAGTATTAATAGGTATATGGACATTTTTATTATGGTTAGGGTGCCTGCCAGATGGAAGGCATTTAAACAAATGGCAATTTGATTCCTTTCATAAATACTTTCCCCCATCTGACCTGTAGAATAGACCAGTGGTTCCTAACCACTTTTTGGGTCATTGACCATCTTAGAATCTGATAAAAACTATGGACATCCTTTTCAGAAAATACATCTGCACACTGCTTTTGTTTATAGGTCTAAGGGTTCATGGATTCTTGACTGTGTAACCATGGTTAAGATCCAGGTTTCTGTGCCGTGGCCCTTGAGCAAGTGCCTTCTATCATTTTCTCTTCTCTTCCCCACTTCTCTCCTGAAGGCCAGTCTCAAGAAGAGGGGGTAGGCATAGTTTAGTGCTCTGTGAAATTAAGAGGAATGGAGAATGAATTATTTATAAGATGATGGCACCTACCTGTGTTCCTGGCTCCAGCTACCTTTATAGCTGACAAGAGTATAAGGATTAAATAAGAGATGAAAGTGCCTTTGAGACATTAAAAACTCGATGTAAGTATAAGATGGCATTTAGTGACTTTGTTCTCTTAATAGGTGGTGGCTGTAAACTTTGTGGCTCTGTGGAACATTTGATGAAAGATTGTCCTAAAAGTCAGAATTCAGGTGAGGTGCCTGGGCTTCCCTTTAGAAGGGATACAATTAATATTCATCTGGCTTTGCTGTATTTTGTTGTTAGTAACTTATCGGCGCTACTGTCCTGATTTGAAGACAACCAGAGTGTCTACTATAGCAATAACTTAGTCACTTCTCTGCCAGAAGTCTATTGACCAGTACCACCTGTCCTCGGGGGGGGGAAAAAAAAAAACAACAAAAAAAACCATGACCAATAAGCCTTGATTTTATAAAAGCATTTTATTCATAAGCACTTATGTTTGCTAACTAATTAATTTAATAACAGTAGACTCAATTGTGTTACTTACAAAAGTATTGATTCACTAAGAGAAAGTCAAACACATAAAAATGACTCAACATTCTTGTGATCGAGTGTCCTCATAAATACTTTGTGTGTACTTAAAAGGATTCAGAGTTGATGGCAAAAACCGCTGAGAATATTAAAAATGTGTTATCCACACCATCTGGCTACTTATTTCTTCCTAATGAAATACTGCATTGTTCATTAAAAATTTCATAAATTTTTACTATACCTATGGCCAACTTTTGAGAAAGTGGATACTGTTCTTACATTAGTTTGCCTGAATTAGAATGATGATAGTCCTCCGTGAAAGGAAGCACAATGGTAAGATAGCCCAGTAGTGCTTCTTAGGAAAAAAAGCATATTCCCTTCTGTTTCAGATAGTCATCGAACTATACAAGGAAGTTTGCCCGTTCTTACTTTCTACCCCTAATATCTGAATTTGAAAATCAAGAGTTCTTATTTACAGTCTTGTCTAGAAGAAGATAGTCTTTACCACATTGTAGGCAGTGAGATTGAAATGATGAAGTGGAATTTGAATTCTCCCTCCTGGGAGGACTGCCACTTCCCAAATGACAAGAGTGACAAGCAGATGTTGTATAATTTCACAGGTGGAATCTTGTACATTTAAAACTGATGCTTCATAAGTTTCACTGTTTACAGACTCTTGGAATTCATTGACTCTGTAATGATGAACTCTGGGAAAGAATGAAAGAGCTTTCTCATCAATTTGTGCATTGCAAAGTAGTTGCTGCATTTCCCTAATTGGGATGAGAAATTGCCTGTGGTACTCTGAAATCAAGGGTTATAATCAATTACAGAATTGCTCACTTTCCTTTAGTGATAGAGCCTTCCTTCCTTGTGATTATTCATGACAAAACTAGTTCCTGCTCTAAACCAGTACCAGGGTAAGTGGGTGCATTTGACTCCTGTTTTTCTTACATTCTGACTTTTCTATTCCTTTACAGATCGAATGGTCACAGTTGGTCGCTGGACAAAGGGAATGAGTGCAGACTATGAAGAAGTTCTGGAAGAACCTAAACCACAGAAACCTAAAACAAAGACCCCTAAGATTGTTAATTTTTGATATTTGGTGCTATTGTTAGATACCCCTCATTGGTACTTTCCCAGGCAGGCCTACGTGACAAGGTAGAGCTGGCCCCACGTGGAGCCGAGCCTGTGCTGTAGACGTCAGTAGGGTCGAGGCGTGGTCCAACACAGTTCTGCCATCTTCCATTGAGGATACTTTTACCCTTGTTTGGAGAAAAATCACTGAAGAACAGAATAGGATGATTAAATTAGATTCTCTAAAAGAGCATAATTTTTTACAGATAGTACTTAGATATAACTAAGTGGTTACATGCTTGATTGTAGCAATCATTTAAAAAAACTATGCATTAATATGAACTACCCCTGAACAAAGGATACTGCTTTGCATTTGGAAATGAATATTGTTTCCTTGGTTCTAAGTATCAATTCATTATTATAATACAATTTATTTATAAATTTTCACAGAACTGTATTTTCAAAATATTAAATAAAAGTATATTTCGTACTTGCTTATTTTTCTGAATACCTGGTTCAAGACTGAGCTATTATTCACTCATATCTATGCAATAGTCCCTTAGAAATCATCTTTTTATGAGTTCTGTTTGAAGATAAACAGCAACTGACTAGTTTTTACATTAATTTTGACATAAATACTTAACAGATTATTAAAGTTAAAATTCCAGGGTTCCTCAGCCTAATAGCAGCTCTTTTTAGGCATTAATTTTTTTCCTTTAGACTTTTGCCATAGGGTACATGAGCTTGTCAGAGGGAGACAGAAAGAGAAAGTGAGCTATCAGCCCCCCAAGGGGGATGGCCACACTGCGCTCCCTTCTCCATTCTCCTCGGGATTCTGGGCATGCATGCACATGTGCCCAGTGTGATTTTCAGGCTGCCGAGTCTGGTACTTGAACTATTATTGACCAGGTGGGAATCCAGTGCCTTAGCCACAACACCACCTGCTGGCCTCCCTTTGACTTAGTTTTTAAGAGAGAACTTCTATCCAAAATTCAGTTGCAGTGTTTAACCAGAATGATGGCACATGACAGTGTTATCAAACTTAATAGCATTTTGTTCCCATGTTTCAGATGAGTCAGGGTGAGATGGAAGTATCACCATAATAGAGTTAGAACACTAATCAGAGACCCATTAGTGTCTTTGTTTGATTTGATGAATACATGCATACTTAATACATATATTTCACAGGGCTTAACGCTACCATTGTACTGTATAATGGAATGACTCTAGCGGTTCCTGTGTTTCATTTGAAATTTTACCTGATTGAATCCATTTGTAACTAAAGGAAACAGCTGCGATTAGTTACTGATGTCTCTAAAGCAAAATATTTACCAAATAAGAAAAGAAACACTTCTCTCTCTTTTTATGTCTGCACACTCAACAGCTCCCTTCTTAATAGAAGCTGTTCTTTGATTTTCAGTGTGAGGAAAATATGACAAAATACTGCTCAGCATCCCAGAGCCCGAGGAAGTGAGTGCCACTTAAAGGGGCAGTGCAGACCCTTGCAGCTGGAAGAGGACAGCCTTGCGACCTTAGTCTGAACACACGAGGTTGGTTTCTCTGGTCCTTTCAGGAGTGGACCAGGGTTTTGCACTCAGGTGCAAAACCCGTCAGCTGCAAGTTCGGTTGAGTGCTCTGTGTACAGTCCGGTGCAGGGCTGCTGGTGTCTATTTTATCTTCTTTAATGATCTATAAATTAGTGAAAAATTAGAAATAGATCATAGGTATTGAATACAGCATTTGAAAAGTGTGTGAACACTGAAAGAAATGCACCAGAGCCAAGGATTCTGGGAGCTCTTGAGTGACTATTTCTGGAAAGAACAATGGATACTGGTTATTTTCTTACTTAAAAATGCTAAAGGAAAAAGCAAACATTTAACTTATTCATCTATTGATACTTGTTTCCCAAGCACCTACTGTGTTCCTGGTACTCTGAGGTGTCAGGGGTTATGGCAGTAAACAAGGCCATAAGACTAAAGAATGGAGAGACTTGGAAAAAATATCAGAAAAATACGTGTTTTTTAAAGTTTATTCATTTCTTCTATGAGCAAGAGATAGTACCCCCAATAGTTTTGCTGTGACTCACAGTCCCTCTCCCCCTCCCCCCCAACTAGCCCTAGGTCATGGGCACATGTGTGCCCAGTGTACTTTGGAAAGTCTCTGGATGCAAACTGGAACCTTTCTGTGTGGGTCAGCCTTGTGGGGGCCTTGTATTTTACTGCTGTGCCACGATTTATCCCCAGAAAGGGATATTTTACTGTTTCTAAAATGTTTTGTTGAATCCCCTATGATGTAGTTGTTAGCACTCTTTTCTTCCTTTAGTCCTTTGTAAAATCATCTTTTAAGGCATACCTTTCGCCCTTCTGTGAATGACCAGATGGAGAGACATCACTCCAATGGTCCCTCATACCACACCCTTCTTCCCCACCCCACCCCCCCCAGCTCCCTGAGTCTCCACCAGCCTACACCATGAGCACGCTTGCCCGGTGTGTTCAGGGAGGTAGGTGGAGGTCTCCAGATGGGAGGCCGGACTGACTCATGTAGGTCAGCCTCGCAGAGCATTGTGTTACTGTCCTGCCACTGTCCAGCCCCTAGCTGGCTACTTGAGACTGGATAACTGAGGAAAGGTCTTGAGGAAGATTTTTATTTTTTTAAAGAATTGTTTTATTTAACTTTATTTACTTATTTATTTATTTTAATTTGACCAGAGAGGGACAGAGTGAGAGAGGGAAAATGAGAAAGTAAGTCACTAAGCTACCAGGTCTGGGACTTGAACTGTGGTCAGCCATGTGGGAGTCCAGTGCCCTTAACCATCATCATGCTACCTGCTGGCCCCTCAGGGAAAGATTTTAAAGTTGAGATCTGAATGACAAGAAAGAAGCAGTCTGGAAGATCATTCGAGAAGAGCATCCAGGGAGAACAAAGGCCCTTAAAGAAGGAACCAAATTGCCATATTTGAGGGACAGGAAAGATGAGTAAGGTCAAAACACTGAGAAAATGGTCCTCATAAGAGCTATTCTGGTCACCCTACTGCAAACGGAATCTGGCCACCCAACCTCACACACTACGCTTTCGTATTTGCTTTATATTTTCCTGTGGCACCACCTTTTAACATTCTACCTTACTTATTATAGTTGGTGTACCATCACCCTGCTAGAATATGAGTGCCATCAGAGGGATTTTAAAAATGAATTTATTAGGACCAGCAGATGGCATAATGATTACGTTGCTGGACTCCCACATAATCAACTGTGGTTCGAGTCCAGGACCTGGAGGCTTAAAACTCATGCCGGGCAGATACATGTGCATGCCCAAGATCCCAAGACGAGAATGGAGAAAAAGGGATTGTGGCGTGGCCACCCCCTCTGGGGAGGGAATTTTTCACTTTCTCTCTCTCTCTCTCTTCTCTCTCTCCCTCTCTGTATCTCTCCAGCAAGCACATGCGCCCTATAGCAAAAATAACTTTTAAAAATAAATGCATTTACTTATTCTTTGCAAGGAAAAGAGATATTCAGGTCTTACCAACTAGGACGTAGGATAGTCCACTCCCAGCCTCAGTCAGCCTAGATCACAGGCATGTGTGTGTGCCTGGCATGTACAAGGAGACCTTAGGACCTAGGACCTGGCATGTACAGGGAGACCTTAGGACCCAGGACCTAGCATGTACAAGGAGACCTTAGGACCCAGGGCCTGTCATGTATGGGGAGACCTTAGGACCCAGGGCCAAGTCCACAAACCCAGTACTTTCCCATGTGGCTTGAGCAACACAGGGCACTGTATCGTTGCTGTGCCACTGTGGCTGACCAAAAACAGGGATTTTGTTTGTTCACTAATATATTCCAAATGCTCAAAACAGTGCTTGGTACACAGTAGGTCCACAATAGGTACCTTTGTACCTAATGTGAAGTCAGAGAGGTGGTAGGGGTAAGATCACAAGGGAAATTCAGGAAGCCATTAGAAGTTTATTTTTTCTCTAATACTTTGAGATATAGCTCACATAAAATTCACTTTTAAAAAATGTAGACTCTCAGGCTTTAATGTATTTATTTTCAAGATGGGGCAACCATTACTACTATCTAATTTCAGGACATTTTAGCACCCAATAAACCTCATACCCATAAGCACTTTCCCAACTCCTCCCAGCTACTGGCAACCATTAATTTACTTTATAGGGATTTGCTTATTCTGGACACTTTATATATAGTGGAATCATACAATATGTGGTCTTCTGTGACTGGCTTCCTTCATTTAGTATAATGGTTTGAAGGTTCATCCATAATATTCCATTATATAGATCTATATTTATTAGCTGATGGAGATTGTGTTGTTTCCACATTTTGGTTATCGTTGTTAATGTTATATGCACATTTGTATAAATTTGTGTGGACAAATGTTTTCATTTATATTAGGTATATATCTAGGAGTATATCTCCAAATATATATACTTGGAAAGTCCACGAACTAATTTTGCAGAGTGGCTGCACCATCGGACAATCCCACTAACAATGTGTGAGAGTTTCAACTTTTGTACATCCGGGCAACACTTGTTGCTATCTTTTTCTTTTAGCCATCCTAATGGGTGTAAAGTAGAATCTTATTGTGGTTTTGTTTTGTGTTTCCTAATGACTAATAATGTTGAGCATGTTTTCATGTGCTTATTAGCCATTTGTTTATTATCTCTAGAGAAATATCCAAATTCTTTTCTTATTTTTAAAATTGGGTTGTATTATTATTGCTAAGTTATGAATATTTAAGTCCTTTGTGAGATTTATGAATTGTAAATATTTTCTCTCATTCTGTAGATTATCTTTCTTTTTTTTTCTTTTTTTTCTTTTAAATTTATTCATTCTCTACATTAATTCACTATACACCATCACAACACACAAATGAATTTTCTATCCAAAATACACTGTGCATTGGCTCAATCAAGCACATCAACATACATGTTCTCAGCAAATAATTTTCCAATTCTTATGTCCTGCATACCTTGCCTTTTGTTTTGCCATCCTTGATTCCCCATCCCCCATCTTCTGCCATGTCCCATCCTCCTCCCACATTGTCCCTGGCATCCACGGTTGCCCTCCATGCCTTCCCCCCCCATTCAATTGTTCTGCCAATGAACTTAATTAGTCTAAATATATCCAATAGCTAGCACAGCTGACACATACCTATATATGAACCCAAGTCTGACTTTAGGCATAAACCCCAGTGAGTAGAATGAACATACTATAAAGTAGTACCCAGCTGGGCCCATACAGCTCGCTGCAGTCGTCAAATATGCAATTTTTTTAAAATGATACAAACAGTTTTACCGTTTTT